GAGTTCAACACGGAAGTGTCAAATAAGAAAATCTTATCGGGTCGAACCAGATCTCTGGGTCTCGCTAGACAAAGGTGTAAGGGCGATGGCTCCTTCTTTATCCGAATAGTTGGGAAACAATACCCGGGCTCTAGAGTCGAGATAAGGCAAGGGCGTATGCAACAATGCTGCAGGGTCCAGACAAGATGGTAGGGATGGAATCTGGAAGAACCGGAACAAAGGATGTGTCGGTGTGCAACGATCAACTTATGCTTTGGATTGGTAAAAGAGATGGAATAGGGATTTGAGTGTTGTGTGTAATGAAGAGATCGGTTGAAGCTGTAGACGACGACTCCATAGTATATATAGGCGACGTTTCAATCTCAACCAGATGGTAGAAGCGTAGGCCTAGCGATGATCCGATGAACACATCACTCAAAATGGATCTTGTTTGTCTTTCCTCAGGAGATTGGAAGGATGCGCGATTGTACAACGTTCTAACTACGGGGTCCAGGCCTGACACCGGCAGATGGCTTGACTGTGGCTGTAGGGAAGTTGCTTTTCGAGGAAAATGATGTTCTCTCACACAATGCATGCAGCCGATAATTGCGGAACTGACAATTAGGTCTGTGGAGAAAAGAGCCTGGATTCTTTGAGGAAGAGGAATGGACAATGGTGGAATGGAGCCTCAGAATCCCAGACGAATAGAGAGAAGGGAGCAAAAAGTACTGCTCGAACTGCACGATGGGCCACACAACATGAGACAGAGATGAGATCTGAAGCAGGAGAGAGACAGGAAGGAGAGTGAGAAGGTGGGAAGAAGAGGTTCGAAGACGCATGGAAAAGTGATGTATAGTCGACAGTGGGCCATGGACAGTAGCAGCAGTCCCGGGGAGATGGGAAAGCGTCAATAGTCCCAATCTTAACTTTAACAATAAGATGTTTGACAAATTATTGGACACTGAATATCGAATTAATGGTTTGTTCTATTTTTTCCAGCATTATTGGAGACGATTTCAAATAGACCAAGATACGGGTCACTCCACAGAAATATTAAGGTATCGAGGACTAATAGGAGTACTCGGAGTATCAACTAGTAGTTAATAGGGCATCATATAGACTTTTCTTTCTGATTTGACATGTTTTTATTCCTTGCAATGTACTAAACATCCATCAAGATTGTCCCTGAGCCAATTGGGAGATCGACGTCTTTTGATTGGAGGTCGAAAAAAGCACAGCCCTTCCCACTTTCCCAGCCAAATGGTGCTGGCGATTTGGCATGGACGATCTCAAGATCTAGCAATCAGAGGTGCAGCTACGCTTTTCTACGCATTACGGTCCGGAATACATCATCATTTGTCACATAATATGTCTTAGGTGCAAATGTTTGCATCTCATATCTCTTTTCTTTTTCTGCGGCTGCGGTCATCTAGACGTCAACCATGATCAAGGATCGTGAGGATCAAACCCAGATCCAAGGGCCTGGAATTCTGGCCGGTGACAAATTCCTGCCCATAAATTCTCCGATGTAGATATATCATCCTATGGTATGCATAGGGTAATGTCATAACACCATCATTTTTATAGCGTGGCGCAACATCGAATCGATAAACTGGATATTGTTTGACAATGTAGGAAAATGGTAGAAATCTCAAATGAGCTAAACAGACTTGATCATGAAGATTTCTGTGAAACCGAATCCCAGTCACTGTAGGACAATAAAGAAGAACAAAACAAGGACAAGGACAAGGTTTATGAACAGTGTTTCACCAATTCCATCATAATGCCTTGTGAGGCTACGTGATTGTTCTTTTCATGTTTTTTTTTTTTTTTGAAGCTTCACAAAGGACCAAGCTCGCCGCAACTCAGTTTTGTTTTTCCAAACTTACAACTAGTAGTTAGTTAACTAGTTAGTTAGCAAGTGCCTGATGATTAATCTCGACCAACAGACCACTCAAAAAGTCAAAGTACCTTAGTAACATATTACTAGTTGACACGATCCACTCAAAGCAGGGGAACTGAGAGAGGAACGGGAAACAAACACATACAATTCATACCACCCGCCAATGAAATTGGCGTGTCCTACCTACATAAGCTAGGTGCTACTGTACGTACTCTACCATATTATGATGAGTTATCCTTCCAGAGAGTTCCCTACTTCTTTGTATTACTCTGTACATGAGAACAATGACCCTGGAAGAAGTAATCATAATACTCTAGCAGATCTCGCCCGATGCTGGATGATCGTGGCGTGCTTGTGCAGGGTGATCCGCGGGCCCGCCAACCTGGTTCGCGGCTAGAGTGGCTTCTCTGCCAGCCCTCAAGCTCAAGGTTATCCATAGTCTATCAATGGTCAAATTGATTTGCTATGATGTACACTGCGATAGCCAAATCGATTCATGCCAGTTCGCTCTTTGGAAAGAAACAGGACGGTCGCCCATATTTATGCCTTTTCAAGAGTGTATGTAACATGTAACGGTCAACTGAACTTTCCACCACACTCAAGACTACACCGAATAAGTAAATGGTCGGTTCTGGACTGAACTCAGGGAACTTCCGGAGACCGAAAAACGAGCGAGGGAACTATTTTAAAAAAGAAGTTCGGGCCCTCTTAGTGGTTCTCCGGTGGACATTTTGGCCCATTCGGGACGCCTGCAGTGGATCTAAACCCAATGCTTCATGGTCTTTACGAATTGACGGCACGCGGACTCCTCCGTATATTGAAACGATTAAGTTGATGGCTCGAGAGTCGAGACTGATTCGAAGGAACGCTAAGGGAACAGGAGGGTATCCTGGACACATGGAGGCTGCCAGTTCCCTGTCAATCGCTTATTCATAGTTGCTATTGGATTGTTGATTGTCGTTATCACACCAACCTGGCTCAAGACAAGCATAGTACGTATTCACCTAGGGAATGTGCAAGAGGCATGATGAAATCCCTACCCTAATCAACTGATTGGTCCTCATATACGATATGGAACCGAGCAATCCATGTCGTTGTCCACCGTGTCCTAAAATACGAGCTGGAAAGCAAGACAAGCCTGGATTCTCTGAAAAGTCCAATACTCCACAGGAGAACGAACTTTGGCTCTGATCTACCGGGGGTGCTTCCCCGGTGCACTAAGTCCCAACCATCTCGAACTAATCCGAGACTGCTCAGTTCTCACTTGTTAGTTCTCACCCCTTGCTCATTTTGCCACAGCCCTGGACTCGAAATTAAAAGTCCTTTCCGGCGCCGATGACGCATGGTACTTGTGCGGTGTTTTGACAAGTCGACATATCACATTTCATTGCCGAGTGTGCGTCTCGCCCTCGCCCATCAATTTATGACCATGACTTCGGCGGGAGGTCCATACTTGGGGGATCCCCACTTAAACACACTACGTACTAATCTCAGACGTACTTTTGTGACATTAATTTGTGTGCCTCCTGGCGCCTTGGAAACCATCGCATCGCAAGCTCGATGAGGTGAGGCTGCAGCTGAATGTCAATCCCCACTCCAACCGCAGCCGCAGCTCTGATTGTACATCGAGATAGTCGACAATTTCTTCTTCGTCGCGACAATGCATATGACAAGCAGGTGGTTGGATTTTGGAATCAGTATCCGCATCGCTGCACCCCCTACCGCGATCCAGGGATATGTATGCTACGGTGTGAGTCCCGCCGACTATCTATCAGAAGTATGCAGGGGGAGGCCCGAGAGCAAGACCTATCCTGGAATTCGGGTCAGGCTGTCAGCACTATCACTACGCCGTGGGGTACTCAAATGATATTACATATCTCATCTCATCACAGTGATATTAATGGCGATCCTGATGATGTCGTTTATGAATTATGAGGTAGATCGAACCTTCTCTGTAGAACTATGTCCATAGAAGCGCCTCACCGCAGCGAAGCGCCGAGTGAACGGGTATGCGCACACCGCTTGATAAGCACCCTTGTTCATAAAGAAGACATCAGACAGGTTTCTGAGTCCATATTTGCGAGATCGTCGGACTCGCTCCGGAACTGACTACTACGAGGCTACGTATCAGCTAGCTCTGCGGGTTTCCTTGCAATCAAACGAGGGTGACCTGGATGGAGACGAGAATATACAGCATAGTCGCAGTAGAGATCTATGAAAAGACCAGTCGGCTACCTCTTGCGCTGTAGATCTTACAAGGATCCACCGGAAGAACCATTTCAGGGGCAGCACGAGACACTCCTACGACTTACTGACAAGCCATTCGCACATCTATCTATTTGCTACTAGCTCATTGTGATACATAACATGAGAATGTTCGAGATGTTCTCTTGCATCAAGTCCACCGGTCCAAAAGACCAGAGCCCACATCAATTGACGGGACTCAGACGTTGATGCCTTCGTTCCTCGAAATAGCCCTGCAGCGCATCCGTCCCTCCATGCCAAACGACACGAAGAAGACAGAGAACTAACAAGGCCAAATGTTTGCTCTTCCAACGCTCCGTTAAGAACAATCTTTGTAAAGACAAGATGCTCCTGCAGTACCCAAAGTGGACTGCACCGTTGGTGTAGATGGACTTAGTCCGGTGAAGCTAGCTTCAGGATCCGTATATCACTGAAACAGAAGAATGCATGTGTCTTGCCAATGCGACATTGGGGATGATATTGCACTATAGGTGAGCAAAGAATGCTCAATCTTAGCCTATTCAGACGTCAAACCTGAGCGCCTTTGTTCTGACGCCAGTGAGTATTCTAGCACCCTTGCCATCGGGAGAGAAAATGTCCAGCAAATGTATCACAATGAAGATACACTCAAAACCCTTGGCCTTCTCGTGAGTATAAAAAAATTGATCATCAATACAAGAGAAAAGAAGAGAGTCGTAAGCTGTCGTTACTGTTGATGCATCATTCTTACCAACATTTGGGATTGTTGTACGTTCATTCATTGATAGTGTGCGAAATAATCTCGTATACCACAGGGATAGACTTCGCCACGTTATTTAGTCGTTGAGGTGGAAAAGCGCCGACACACTGAGTTGGAGTTAGCAAATTGACTCGGTCAAGAATCAGTCCGCAGAACTACAGACCTTTCACCGTAATGGTGGCGTCGGATACTCTCCGCAAGAAGACTCGAAACGTCGATTATAACCAGTTTCTTCGACTTTCTCATCTTCTGGGGAGTTATTGGGAAGGTATTTGTGACGACAATATAGTCGATCGCGTCACACGCTTCCATCTGCTCGAGGGAATCGCCGCCAAAAAGTCCATGTGTAGCAATGCAGTAGACCTGCTTAGCCCCGCCTCGTTTGACAACCGTTTCTGCGGCAGCAATCCACGAGCCACTCTTGTCGATCATATCGTCGACAAGGAAAACAGTCCTGTCTCGGACATCACCTACCAGGGTGATCATCTTCTCTTGCTCGACGCTTCGCCCGTTGCTCTCTTCCTCATCCGAAGATTCAGCGGCATCGAACGACCCGCCAAGAGCATGATCTCCAGGTAGAGAAGATGTGGTCGAGATAAATGAGTTGACCATCGCGTCTGGGACGGACTCTGGTTGATCCTGGCTGGACGGCTGTCCTGGAGTTGTATGGCCAGAGGCAGGTACCGAGGTGGGACCACCCGACGGGAAATCATCATCCACGATATGGCCCTGTACAAGTCGGCCAGTGATCACATCACGCACACGCACGTCTGTGTACTCGTGAGCTGCTTCCAACTCTGACGGGCGACGAGCAGCGGGTGGTGTCTCCGGGCGCAGTAGTTCCTCGGGCTCTGTGGTGTTGTGTTCGCTCGATTCGCCGCCGTGGGAGTTCTTGCGGAGGTGCAGGACAAAAGGCTTCGGATCTTTGGGAATGCTATCATTCATAGAGTCGAAAAAAACAGTACTATCTGTCATGGACATAGTGACCTTCGGACGGCGTCTGTCGGTTGTGACAATGCCAAAATTGAGCTTCAGGGTGTCCGCTAGCGATGTTACACGCTTGGTACCTCCAGCGTTTTTGCTAACAACGACAGCCTCCTTCCAGCCAGGGACGTTCATCCGAATCCAACGGGCAATGAAAGGCTCGGCAAAGAGGTTATCCACAGGCTTGCCGAAGAATCCTTGCATTTGTGACGCCTGGTATTCAGTCAGACGTCTATTCGTCCGTTGTACCAACCATCTATTAAACTCACATGCAAATCTAGAGTAATGACGTGGTCTACTCCAGCGACCGAAAGCAAGTTCGCCAGCATTCGAGCGGTGATGGCTCCCCGATGGCTCTTCTTTTTCGACTGGCGGGAGTAAGGAAAATACCTCGTCCATGTCAGCACAATGCGTAATTTTCACGTTAGACGGGCAGCATACGGCATAACCGCTATTGTAGAATCATGTTAGTTATTGCGCAAGGTCATCAAATAATTCGACGAAAAGCTCACCTGTAATCGACTTCGCGGAACCACCCTTGCAAGCAGAGATCATGATCAAGAGCTCCATGACACTGTCATTGATCTTCTGACTGCCGCTCTGGACAATGTATACATCTTGGTTCCGCACGGAAACTCCAATGTCCACTCTTGTCTCGCCATTTGCAAACTTTCCGAGCACTGCCCGAGCGGGGAGTGTGCCTAGACGCTCGCAGATGGTCTCAGCAAGGACAGGGTGGGATGTCCCAGAGAAGATTTGTACTCCCCGCATCGTGACCTATTATGTACTGCGAAATGAAGGCATGGACAATGGGGAGAAGGGGGGGAAGAGTAAAAAGGAGGTAGTGGTTGTGAAGGGCATTTCAAATGGCCGAGGGAAGAGGAAAAAAAAGTTGGTGGAGAAGGGAAAAGGTAAAAATAGGCCAGGTCGTCTTCGGTGTCTCTAGCTCCCCGTACAATGGCCCCGCCAATCGATAGATAGCGGCACTGCAAATGACTCCCCGCTACAGATAACGTCTCAGTAAAGCTTCAAAATATCTATCCTATGCTAAAATGTCGCACAAGTACCCTCCAGTCCAGGGAGGGGGCTCCATGATAGTTGCTTGGCAAGTCAAAGATAAACATGTCCTAGTGGTCGGCGGTGGTGAGGTATAGTCTTATGCATGTTCAGCCGCAGAAAATATATATATATATGCATCACCACAGAGCGCTAACGAGAACATTCAACAGGTAGCTGCAGGCCGCATTCTCCACGCTCTGAACGCCGATGCCAAAGTAACAGTCGTCTGTCCTCGCTCAGGTCTCAACGATGAAGTTGCTTTCCGTGTATCTGAGGGCCAAGTCACGCATGTCGATCGCACATTTGAGCCAGAAGATCTAGAAGGAGCAGATATGGTACTTTGCGCCATTGATGACCCCGACGCCTCGTCTCGCGTCTGGAAACTGTGCAAGGAGAAGCGAATACCTGCCAACATAGCCGATGTGCCCGCAGAGTGCGACTTCTACTTTGGCAGCATGTACCGTGATGGACCGCTGCAAGTGATGGTGAGCACGAATGGAAATGGACCTAAACTTGCAAGTATCATTCGCAAAAAAATTGCAGCATCATTGCCCGACAACATGGGTGCCGCCATAGAAAATGTGGGCAAACTACGCAAGAAACTACGCGAGGTCGCTGCCAGGCCAGAGGAGGGGCCTAAGAGAATGAAGTGGTACTGTGGACCTTACCTTTCCGATTGAGCTGCCTGCTGACTTATTAAAGGATGTCCGGGGTCTGCGAGTCATGGAGTCTCGAAGAGCTCGTGAGAATGAGCGAACAGGACATGGATCGTCTTCTTGCTCACTTCGCATCTGGCAAGATTCCGTCTTATAATGAAGTCCATTCCAGCTAGTTGATGCATGTACAATTTGCTAGTTCAACTGGGACAGCGTCGACTGTGTCGCCAATATCTGCTTGCCAAGAGTGATGCGATTGATGTATCGGCTTGATGCCGCTTTACGGCCACAAATATCAGAGTGACAGCGACGTCTGCGTCGCCGAGCTCAAGTTCGGTAATTTGATATTGATAGAACAGGTAGACGGTCTGTATTCTTATAATTTACAAGTCCGAGAATGACAATGCAATATATTTGTTAAGTCTACATTCAACACTCCTCCAGAGTGGGCAATTGAAGTAAAAAAGCCTCTTATAGAGTAGGCAAGGATATCCAAAAAGAAATAAAAGTCAAAGGCCAACAAACTACCGTTTCATCAGAACTCCGACCCCAGACACTAGTGATCCCGACTATACCTGCGGGAGTGGTGCTGCGAGATAGAGCTCCTGGGGCTGATGGGTGTCTGCACAGCAGCTATACCCAGTCTTGCTTCTCCGATTCTTCGAAGCAGGGACTGAAGAGCGAGGCGGATTTCGGGGTTAAGGTCGCGGCCCAATAGATCGACCGCTAATGGGTAGAAAGTCTCGACATGTTTATCGAAACCTTCAGACGGGAAGTTTGTGTAGCCCTCGATGACATCAACAACTACAGGGCGCCAGGCCACTATGTTTCGGTGCTGAGAATCTTCATCGAGTCGGACGAAGCTTCGGATAATATCAGCGCAGAGACTGGACAAAATTATTTTGTTAGCAGTGGTTGGTAACGACGAAGTCCGTTATACTTACGGAATAAGCGCAGCCTCTGTTTCCCCGCGGCTGCTCTTTCGTTCTTCTCGCTCATCGTGGTACATGCGGAAAAGGATGTGAACATATGTAGCAGCACTGCCACTTTCCTGTTTAAGCAGGTTGGGCGGTTGTTTCATAAAGCCTTGGCGCCAGAGCTGCATCCGAAGCTCTTTGTCCTCGTTGAACTTTTTCGCAAACTGATAGCTTTTCTTAAGCAGCCCCATCAAACGGAGAAGTTCGTGGCTTGGGATCTCAGCATAGACCTTGTCATTCGAAAACAGTTCGTGGACAGTCTCAATCATAAGTAGCTGAAGCACGCAGTTTGTTATGATACGATTGAAGAATCGGCGCCGCGCAACGGTCACGGCAGCGGGTTGCTGTTGGGGTTCGGCCTGCGGGCGGTAATCTTCCAACTCGGGGGTCGAAGCGGCAGGCATGTCGCCCTCTTCGTGCTCAGAAGTCACAGGCTGTGATCCATTCACCCTGGGGGCGTCCGATGGAGTTTCCCGGACAGGCGTTGACTCGGCTGTCTCTTGCTCCGGCTTGTGAAGGTCATCCTCGTTGGATGCCTCCCCGTTCCCGTTCTTAATTGAAGCTGGCTTCGAAGATATCGAGGCGGCGGCTGTGAATAACTCGTAGGCCGTGGTCCTGCTGAAAAGCTCCACGAAAGCACCTACAACCTTGGTCCAGTGTTCCTGCTGGAACTTTGCAACATTCTGCAGAATCAGTTGTTGCAGGCAATTGCTACCGATCCGCGCAATTGTATCGTTTTCTTGGCAGATGCATAGTGTAAGAAGTTCGAGTATACGACCCAACATATATTCCAGCGCATCGAAATAATGCGTGAAAAGTGTAATCATGTTCCTCAAGGCTTGTATCATTGTTGTTGACAGCCATACGGAGAGTTCTTCATGGTTTGGCACCTTGGACATCTCCGATTTAGAGTGAAGGACGACGAAGATAGGATAGAGAAGCTGTCTCCACAAGACATCCCAAAATTCTTGAGGGAAGTCGCCTCCGTGACGAATCAGTGTGTCAAAAAGATAAGTCAATGCTCTGGTTTCCTGATCAGCGAGGTTCCCGGGGCAAAGTCAGAACTCGGAACTTACCTTGATCGAACCTCAAGGTCATCACCCGTCATCAGTACATCCTGGAAGGCAATCAAAATAGGATACCAGAACTGCTCTTCTTGAGATTGCCGTGATAATTGTTTGGCCAGGTTTGTGCCGTCCTCTTGAACGCCTTCCGATGTAGTTCCACGGTGTGATAGAGGGCACTCCGGTGTCCTGAGCATCTTCGTGACAGTTGATTTCAAGGTCTCGATCGCTTGCAAAGACTTCTTCTGGAATCGCATGTTCTTGGAGAACTCCGTGAGACAAACGATTAGGTCAGGGAAAGCTCCCTGTGTAATGACCACACCGAACCGCGTGTTGTAAATCTGAGTGACATGTTCGAATGCCATGTTGACGATGCCCTCTTCTAGGTATTAGCATCATCATCACATAGATCCTAGGCGATAAGAAACTTGCTTACCGTATGGCTCTCGGGCAGCGACTGTGAAGACGCCGAACATTGTTTTCCAGCCTGAGCGAATGTTATCTCCACGTGCCTGGATCATCTGTATCAGGCATCGAAGAATCATATCCTTCACAGTAACAGCATTACTATTGGCCATCACATGCTCAAACGGCTTGAGAAAGTCCTTTTGGAATTTGAAACCAGGAAGCTCTTCAATTTCCAGAAAACGCATCGAGAGTTGCCGAAGGGAATCCAGTGCAAAGAACACCACGGTAGTGTTGGTGTGGCATCCAACCTGATTGAAGTGCTGCCCAAGGACGTCCCAGATCTTCGACCACTCTATCCTGACTCTGGTCATGTTGTAATAGCTGATTTCAACAAGCTTCTGCAAGCTGTATGTTCGAGGGGACTCTGTCTGACCTGAAGATTGAATCTCCTGCCAACTCACTTCGCTTAAAGCGCGAACAAAGTCAATGATAGCTTCATGAGTGAGATTTGCAGTATTTGTAAAGATGCGGTCCACTCCGCGTATCATTTCAGCGGATCGACTTTCCATAGCAACCTCAGAACGGAAAGCCGTAGGTCCGTTGACTGACCGCGGACGGGGAGGGCGTCTTGACGCCTGCATAGATTTGCGGGATCCATCAGATGGAGTTTGTGGTACAATACGGGCGCGTGATGGATCGGGTAGTGAACCTTCATCGACGCCATCAGTGAGAAGTTGAAGCCGGTCGAGCTGGCTGACACAGGTGAGGACTTCCCTCCAGGAACTCTTCAGGTTGTTCCCTTCGGTGAGCGCCACGTCGAGCAGCGCCTTCAAAGCCTCAACATTCTTCGGTACCATCTCCCTGACATTGCCCAGATTTGTGAATTTGGCAAGGCCCGTTACGAATGCGACCCGGGGAGTCTCCAGATCAAAAGCGCAACTGATACGTATTGCCAGTTTCATTCCTTCCATGCAGAGCTTAATGGTTTCAAGATTCTGTGTGTCTTGCATGGGAGCAGACAATCCAGAGAGGAAAGACATCCAAGTCACATTGAACATAGATCCAACATGCCGTACCGAAGTCGCGGGGATGAAGCGTGAGAGGGCCTCTCTAACGGCCGTCTTCCGCTGCGCTCTAATCAAACTCCGATAGAGCTGCTCCGTCTTATTGGCCATTTCTTCAGATGCTTGAGCATACTTTTCCCCTTGGATGTCCCTTCCTACCGTTGCGAAGACCTGTCCTGCCCTGGAAGCTAAGCCGCCTGTGGTAGCGGACGTGGCAATGCCCAGATTTGCAGCGTGCTCTCGTTCAGTGTCGAGCACGATCTCGTTGTTGGCGATCTCATCAAATATGGACCCCAGATACTCATCGGGCAAGTCTTGGTTATCGTTTATACCCCGATTGTTCTTGATGAAATCCTCTTTAGTCATGCGGCGACCCTTGATCTTAGCGCTATGTTGATCTGTATTGAGCATAATGACCGAGTAAGCCAACACGTACGCAGTGTCCGCGTTGGCGAAGGCATTCGGGTTTTGAGTCACGTAGCGCTCGGCAAACTTGAGCATGAAACGATCTATCTTCTGGGCCTCCCCGGGCAATCGAAAGTG